AGCAGGATCTGGAGCTGGCCTGCCCAGGGCTGCCGAGGGGCTTTGGCTAACCACAGCACAGGGGCCTGGGCAGGTCATGCCAGCCACCTACGACCCACTGGGGACTTCAGGAGACAGGAGCTGCTGAGGGCACTGGACCACGGCTGTGCAGCCCAGGGAGGTACACTGGCCAGCAACCTGCAAGGGTGGTGACATCCTGCATAGAATGGGGACGGGGGCCAGCACAGGCCCTGGAGTTCGACTGCCTGGGTACAAATGCGGGCTTCTGCCTCTTACCAGCTCGGTGACCTTGGGCACCTTACTTCACTCCTCCACACCTCAGTTTCCCCACCAGTAAAATGGGGGTAATCAGGCTTTCTACGTTGTAAGATCGCTGTGCCATCCGGATGAGGTGACACTCACAAGCACCCCACAGAGCTGGGAGATAGGAAGCCTGCCATGGATAGTTGCTGTTCTCACTATCAGCTGTCACTTCTCAAGCCCTATGCCAGACCCACTGTGTTCCTTAGCTTACCTCATCCTCACCCCACAGCCAAGGAAGCACGACAGTCTCCATGCTCCGAGGCATTTCCCAAGGCCACCCAGGTAAGGAGAGGGATCTGGACCAAGGACCCCTCCCTCCAAAGATGCTGTGTCGCCCTACCTTTTGGGGTGAACAGTCCCTGTGACAGGTGCATCCGCCCGCAGTGAGCAGCCCGGCCTCGCTGACTGGCACATTCCTCGAGTGGTTGTGACCTGGGAACAGTGAAGTCCTGGCTGCAAGAGGGGGCGGGGGAGGCTGGACAGAAAAGCCCCAGGTAATGTAAATGGAAACTCTAACCGACAGGGCTGCACCTGGTGTTTTTGCATTTCCCAAGACAGCTGAAGGGATTGTGTCTGAAGCTTCACACCCTGGAGGAAACCCGTCTGTAGCCATCAGGGTGGCTGGACTGGGTCCCAAAGCCACCTCATGTCCCAGCCTAGAAATTCGGTGTGGGAGCTGATTCAAATGCAGCCCCTCGGGTAACCTGGGACCCATCTGGGAGGGGCCTTGACCCAAATCCCAGCCAGGGCGGGGGGGGGGGGGGGGGGGGGGGGGGGGGGATTCTCTCTTGGCTCCAAGGAGAAGGCAGTAATGCTGTTCCCCACAGACTCCTGGGGCATTAAAGGGAGACCCCAAGGCCACTTGTCCGGGCTGTATGTGAACTGTGCCGGGGAGGCCACCCCCTGGGAACCCTGAGGGTCTGGCTCCTTCTGGCACCAACTATGCGGGCAGCATACACCCAAGACCCGGGCATCATGTGGGAAGTGGTGCTCAAATAGATGACATAAGCTGCCCAAGGTCACACCCAACTAGAAGAACCGGGACTCAGAGCCAGGCTTGACTCCAAGGCCCTGGCACCTTCCCTGAGCCTATCTAAACAGGACCTGCAGCCACCATAGCTGGGAGAAACCAGCCCGAATGTGTCACCAGTCAGCGGCCACCCTCTAGCACAGAGCACAAGCCGTGGCACCCCGGGGAAACCCCAAATACCAGAAGACAAGGTCCATGGCCTTGAGCTGCAGTAAGTTATAGGGCAAGCAGTGCAACTGTGCGAGTGACTGGAGCCAAATCCCTGCATCAGCAGGGCTGGCTCAGCTGTGTCAGACAGACAGACAGGCACGTGCAGAGCGGTCAGGGGCCTGGTGAGGCTGAAGGAGGCCTCTGCAGCTGGGTGACTTGAGCAGGGGGGGGTGCAGCCAGCCAGCGGGCACTGGTCTGTAAGGGTGGCCACAGAGGATGAGGAAGTCCGGCAGCAGGCCGAGCCAAGACTAGGCCCCACCACACGGCTCCAGGAAGAAGGTGGCCAGGAGGCCTTCCAACCGCGGTCAGAAATTTTCATTTGAAACGGGAGGCAGGTGGAGAGTGCCCTGTAGGGACAGAGACCGCAACGGTGCTGGACACAGAGCCAGGATCTCACGGAGCCATGAGTGTCCCTGCAGGCAGCAAGCACACGAGGGGCTCAGAGGAAGCGCCCCACTGCCCCATTCTGGTAAGCGGGGCTGCAGTGCCCAGCTCTGGGTCCAGCTCCCCACGGCCTGACCCCCCCCCCTGCTCCCCAGTCCCCAGAAAAGGTAGAGCAATGTTTGTTTGGCTTACTATTAACCACTTCCCCCAAATAGACCCATGCCTGTGGGTTGTTCCAATTCAGGACGCTGCTCAGACTTGAGTTGCCAACCCTCCTACCTCCTGGGACCCTCTCAGGGAGGCTCCTCTATGATCAGTGATGGCCCGGACTAGACCCCCAAGAGCAAGAGGTTCAAGCACTAAAAAGGCGAATCAAGGCCAGATGTTGACGAAGGGGCTTCAAGGTGAAGAAACCATCTCCAAGTCAACTCACAGCTGAGCTCAGGACCCCTGGCTGTCCCTTCCAACCTGTCCCCCCGAACTGTGTGCCCCTTGGCCTCCCAGCCCCCCAAGCCTGTGCCTGTCCTCTCACCAAGCACACTGCCCCTGCACTCAGGGTCCCTGGTCACCTGGTGGATTCAGAGGGCACAACTTCCAAAGGGGGGACCCCAGCTCAGCAAGTAGCCTGGGACTTTTGCTCTGACACCAGCACTACATCATCAGGCAAACTGCCAAGAGCAGCACCCACAGGGGAAATGGGCCAGGCAACATGAAAGCAAGAACAAAACCAAAATCGGGTGGGTTATTTTTATCATGCTATAGACTCGCAGCAGAGACCTGACAGCTAAAGGGGCATCCCAGGCGTTGGGCAGGTTTCTTTCACCCTCTGCCTCTTCCCTCCTTTGGCGCCCCAAGCCCCTTCCTCGGGAAACTGAGAAAGTGGATCGGGTCAGAGCAAAACAGTCCTCATTCTGCCTTCTCCACAGGAAAAACTAATTAGTCGCCAAATATTCGGAATGGGTAATTGCTACCTGAATTAATAAGGGCAAACAGCCGGCAAGAAAACAGTGGTTTACTATTTCTGAGAGCTTGCCTCTCTAAACCCGGAGTCCCAGGCTCTGCTGGGAGGCACCGGCTCTGGTGAGACACGTCTCCCACTGGCAGCCTGCAGAAAGGGGCACATGGCAGCCTGCAGCTGCCCCCGCTCCTGGGTCAGTTCAAACACTCCTGCGGTTAGGGGTCACCCTCTGTCTCCTCTAACACCCAGCACACGTGTGCTCACATACATGTGCACACTCACACAAGTGCTCATGGCACATATGCACACACACCACACACACACGCCTGCACCACCCACACACAGGCATGCACCACCCACACCGTGCGTGCACACACACACATGCACACACCACACATGCACACGCACCACACACAGGCATGCACCACCCACACTGTGCGTGCACACACACACGTGCACACTCACATGAATGCACACGCCACACATGCACACGCACCACACACAGGCATGCACCACCCACACCGTGCACGCACACACACATGTGCACACGCACACAAATGCACACACACACATGCACACAAACTACACACATGCCTGCACCACACACACACAGG